CCATGTTGGAATCTATGTTGGTGGAACCGGTTGCCATTTCGTCTTCCAAAAGAACCAAACAACAAATTAATTTCCACAATATAACAAATATAAGAAACTAATCAGTTCAGAGATAATCAATATAGGAAACCAAATTTTCCTTTCTGAAAATCTGTTTTAAACTTGTAGGAAATTCAGTGTATGTGGATAAAATCGGGAAATGTTGTCTTTTGTCTCGTCAATTTGAATAATGCGCAATTAAAAGACTCCCAGATGAGGAAGGGAGTCACAACCGGACCGCTTAAATCCCAAGCTCTTCTTAGACAGTTTAGGTCTTTTTGACAAAGTCTTTCAATTTTGCAACTATGCAAATCAACAAAATTCAAACAACCGCATATCGAATTTTCACCAGATCATTGAAAGTTTTATTTCCAACAAATAACTTTTGTTCCAATAGAATTTAAAATTCATGAACCATACGAACAATATATCATAAATTTATGAAGCATGGACTGTAAATTTAATACGAAAAATTGCATGAATTAAACAACTGAAATATAGAATTTTAACCCGAGGCCTGTATTATACACAGTTTCCTTAAAACAGATTCGCCTCCTCACCGTCCGTGTTTGAGGTTTAAAACGAGCGTCCATTTCCTAGGATACAACGATAAAATCAGTAGCTTCCGAGCACCGCAGAAACCACTCCGGTGAACTGAACTAGTGCCTTAACTACACCACCACCAAGAGAGAACTCTATGCAAATGAATTTCTAGTGTATTCTAAACTTGAAAACTTTTGCTTTTTTGTGTTGAAATGAGGAAAATGAGCCACTATTTATAGGCTACGCTACCATTAATGGCAATGATCTTTGAAATTCCTCATCTTTTTTCTATGTGGGATAAATTCATTTTTCCTACATAAACTCTCTTTTGAGTGGCACACTTTGAGCCTCAATTTCTCATTCACCCGAGTATCAACTTTGGCAAGTAAGTATATGATTTCGATGTACTCACGGAGGAGAACACAAATCAACTTTCATCTTCCAAATTGAACAACCGGGTCCCACTCAAAACTCGTGCCAAAGTCGGCCAATTTTTCCAACACTAAAAGCCACTTGATAAATGAACAATTAGCGATTTGCAAATGATAAAAAAAAAAAAGGCAAATTCATTTTTTATCTGTGACTAATTTATTAATTTTGTTAATTGTTATTTTGAGCCTTTGGTATTTAATTTTAAGTAGTTGGTAGACGTTGTCCTGCAAATGTTAGTGTTCGAATGAATGCATTCCTATATATCATCAAGTTTGGCCAAAAGAGTCATCAATCTTGGGTAAGAATGTTATTGTTGAGTTTTTAGTACCTAAGTTCATGTTCAAGGTCGTGCCATAATTAGAGGGCAAGTTAAAGATGTTGGAAAGCGAATAAGGTGACTTAAGACGAGATTTGAGTAAAATTAAAGTGCTCAACCCCGTAATAGGTAAAGCCATAGCTCAGCTCCAAGAAAAACAGAGCTATCTAAAGAAGGTGAACAAACATGACTTTGAACATCTCTAAATGACTCTTTACTTTTAAGAATTATATTTGTCATGATAGAAAATATCTTAAAATTTAAAGAGTAAAATTTTTTGTACTCTGACACACTTTGTTTTACATTTTTAAAACAATCATGTATTGTTTTTCCTTTGTTTTTTTAATTAATATATATGTTTAGATGTCAATAGTTAAGAGAATTAAGTCAAGTTGTTAGAAAAATTTTGACACATCGGATGACCTAATCTTACATGTACGTGGGACTCGTATGAATAAAAAATACAAAAAAAAATGTCTCAGACTCACCCCTATTGTGATTGTATGTCAACTATGGTGTCAAAATATTTTTGGCACCCTAACTTGATTGATAGTTAAAATTATATTCCATCCATCTCATAAAAATAGGCTTGTTTTCATTTTTACATGGATTAAGAAAATGTAATTAATATAGTTAAAAATATAATATTTCCTAATACATACTTTCATTTAAAGAAAAAAGAAAAAAGTGACCTATAATCTGGAACAAACAAAAAAAGGAGAGCAAGTATATTTTTATGAGACAAATGGAATAATATGAATAAATTTAGGGCATGTGTGAGCCCATTTTTTGGGTTATAATGTATTTTGAAATAGTAAATTGATAGGGAATGTGTCGTTAAAAATGAGAAAAAGTTTTGAATTTGCGTATAATATTATTTTATTAAAGAATATGTGATTGAAATGAAGAGAGAAATAAATTTAAAAAAAAAAAAAGGAATCAAATAAAGGCTTAAGTGTAACTTTGAAACCTGTTATTTCATTAAATGTATTTTTGATAAAATACAAATGAAGAGCGAGTTTGATTGCTTAAAGTAAACATGATCTCATTTTTGAATAATCTCTTGAAAATGATCTTAACTTGTACAAAAAAGTAGCTCAACAAATCCAACATAACTTTGGAGTATTTTAAGCAATACTTGTAGGCAAGTCATTTCAACAAATAAAAGACATGATAGCCAGAAGGTTGACTGTTGACCGTTGGCTATCAACGTTGACATGTATTTCAATAAATTCAGGATTGAAATCCAGTTAGGACGGAAGTTGACTATTGGCCGTTGACTATCGACAATTAATGTCGTAATAGTCCGATCGTTTATTAAAATTTGATTAAATAATATTAAAAGTTATTCACTATATATGTAAATGAACTAAAACGTCAAAATTTTGTATGTGTGTGTGTGAAAATATGTTAAATTGAGTGATCAACATCTTCTCAATTAAATTTTTTCACTTATCCTAATTTCCTAAACATAAATTTTCAAATCAATAATCATAATTCATGTCTCATAAAGCATAAATTACTTATCATAAATCACAATCACAATTCTCCATAATAACTCACAAATCACAAAACTGTCAAAACATAAATCATAATTCATAAATCATAACTCAATATTTATAAGACTAATAAGTAATAAAAAATTAACAATGATCACAATTTACAAACATGAGATAACAAGTTTAACAACATTCATTATTATCTATTCAACAAATCAACTAGAAAATAGCCAACAAAATAGAACAAAAACAATACCTAAAAAATAAAAAAACGGCAATGAGCTAGAACATAAACCACTCACCAAGCGAACTTGTGAAGCCAAATTTTCTTCCCTGCTGTTTGCTGACCAAAATAGGAAGTCGGAAGCAGGCGCATAACCTCGAACGGCAGTTGAACTTGACAAAAGAAGAACCGCTAGCTTTAAGCTTTTGGACTTGGCTGAGGTTGGCTGTGCGGTTGAACGGAATTAGGAAGGGAGGAAAAAGGTTTGCAAGCTTTTGGATTTGGGAATGAGAAATTGAGAGTCGAATACTCAATTTGGTGGAGTTTGTTGCTTGGAATTGGATCATTCATCCTTTGGGGACTGTCGGACTCGGTTTGGCAATTTGGGGTAATAATTCATTGTAAATAGGCATCCTTCCTTTGGGGACTGTCGGACTTGGTTTGGGAATTTGGGGTAATAATTCATTGTAAATAGGCGTTTGTTTCCCATTTTTGTAAAAATAAGAATGAAAAATATAGTTTTTATGAGCTGCACAGAATATAGAAATTCAAATTTGGTGACTCTGGTTAACGGTCGTATTTTTTATTTTAATAAGAAACAAATAGGGGCTAAATTTGTAAGCAAAATTGGGCCTAATTTTTTTAAACAAAAAAAGGCCCAAATAATGTCCAATTGTCCATGGACCATTGTGTGAATCGGCAACCCAAAGTGAAACTGTGAAACCTAGAAAAAAATTTGATCTCATCTTTTTCCTTTCTCCTGCAACTTCACTGTTGCTGCCCGTTGACGATGGCGTTCTAGAACATACCGCCAGAGCTAGCACGAGCGACAGTGTCCCCTCGCAGAGTGCTGGCGCCGCACCTGGTGATAGCTTACCTAATCATTAGATACTACCCAAAGCCATTCCCACTATATATATATATATAATATCAATTGTTTTACTAAATTTTATTGAATTGTGCTATCTAATAATAGTGGTGTTAGAACATCAATTTAGGTGGTCACATTTAATAAGTCCAATTAAATGAATAATGTGTCATTACATTTTAGTAAATCTATCATCTAATATCATGCTATTGTCACTTAAACTGGAGTTTGACATTAGTGTTGCACAACATTACTCGTTTTTATTAGAATGCCACTATATAAACAATAGCTAACTTGAACCACAAAGTATAATCAATCATCAACTCTATTTAACAATGGTACTAAATAATTAACCTTTTATTTTATCAAACATAAAATAATAAAATTTTTTTTAAAAAAAAGTGTTTTTTAATTCTTCCATGAGGTCCTATTCAAGCTCAAGATTTCGGAAATTCACAACAGGACAAACAAAATTATAATACAAGCTCCCATTTTTTACTTTATTTTTTCTCCTACATTAATTCCATTATTATATAATTCAATTCCATTGACCGTTGAAATCTCTAATTAAAAAATAAATAATACTATATAGTACCAGTGCTACTATAACCTATAACACCAATTTAGGTCTCGTGATTTGATAAGCTTTCAATGAATTCTACCTCTCATCCAATGTTATATTAATATCACTTAGACAAATATTTTAACACAACATTACTCTTAACAAATACTCTCTAAACTCATTAATTAAATTAAGTGCTTGTTTGTGCTCTATTATTTGCGTATAATATGTTATGGAATAGTGATTGATATTGAAATGTGTGGTTGAATAAGAAAGAATTTTTTTTAATTTATGTGTAATATTATTTTAATGAAAATGTGTGGTTGAAAATGAGTACTGTAGAAAAAATAATGTGATAAAATGTGGAAGAAAGAAAGACAAACACACCCTAAAAATAATCATTTGTTCAGTCCAAAGTCAACATAATTAATATCTAATCTATTCCAATCCAAAAGAACTGGGATCCATGCACCAACATTAACTCCTCTCTTCTCAAGCCTCCTATATAAATTGGTCCCCTCTCAGACATAAATTCACAACATAAAAACTCAACTACAACACTTTGTATTCAAATTCTTGAGCAAAAAAGCAACACAAAATGGTTTGCTTCTGTTTTCTGGTTGATCAGACAAGAAAAGTGAGGAGGTGCAAACCTGCGCCCGGAATATGCTCCCGGTGTGGCAGCGGCGCTAGTGTTGCCGACATGAAGACTGCGACGAGGTTCTGCTATGT